TAGGAAACAAAACTTCCAGAACACGGCCACACAGCCCGGAAGACCCACACCAGCCATGTTAATTATGTCTTCATCTTCTTGGATAGTATCCTAAATGTTCTTTTTCTTTTGTTCTTCCTTAACAACATGAAAATACCTGTTTGTGCATTTTGCATAATCTAATTGTATTGTAAAGTATCTGGATGGTTTGGTGCATATATGGTATTAATAATAAGAATAATAATAATTTATTATGGCCGCCTACTCCAGAAGACTCTGGGAGGCTTTTGTGGCAACTTCAAGACTAACAAATTTATTATGGCATAAACTTTAAGGTATTACAGCCGTAACATAATGGTTGGGTTCACATATTGCATGAACCTGTAATGTGATTTATTTGGTTTTAGCTTAGTATATTGTATGAATCTAGTCATTGCACTAAACCGTAATTTATTGCTTAACATAGTCAATCAGTAGCATCTCTAATAATAATTCCTAATAAATTTCCCAGCTTTGGCTTCAGATATTTAAGTCATCTAAGAACATAGATGTAATTAGGAATAATTACATACAATTTCCTCATTCAAAAAAGATAACTTGTAAAGGATGGTTTCCCAAAAAGCTGTGCTTGTTGTTTTGCCTTTTCCATCCAAGCTGACATACGACAATGATGTAGGTGTGTGTGCACACCTACATTAGGCCCAAAAACAGAAATGACATTTTGTGTAATATTTAATCTATTAGTGCTTGTACATTCCTGCTATGGTTCTAACACAGGATGAGCTGAATGACTATGTCATAGACAGAGTGACCTTTTTCCTTTTATCAGAGGAATGAAATCTTTCCCCTGAATGTTATATTTTCCCTTATTGTCAGCTTTGCTTTTTGATAAAAATCTAAGGCTGCTCTGCTCTGGGGCATACTCTCTCTCTCTCTCTCTCTCTCTCTCTCTTAGTTTTGTTACTTATTGCTATACTTGCATATAAACATGTTTACTGTGATTTTTGAATCATAGTTCTTTATCATTTTTGGTAATCTGAAGTCCTATCTTATAGCCTGCTTGCAGATTTCCTGATGCTTACTGTAACAGTTACCAGGATAGAAGTTAGGGGCGCTGCCTGTGTACAGTAGAACATTGGTTCCTGGTTCTCCAGATCTCCATTCAATGGACTTTGGATGCAAAACCCATTCCTTCTGAAGCAGTCTAGACAACTGATGTAATTTAGGTCACTCGGATCAATTCACATCACTTGCATAACTATGTAATTGACAGCTTTATGTCATAGGCTTCAATTTATTTCATAATGCAAATGATATAAAATATCAATTGTGTAATTACATAAATGACATAAATTAACACTAATGATGTAAATTTGGATTTAACTGACATTTGGATTTAACAGACACCCCTTTCTCCCAAATTGTCTACTAAATCAAAGTTGTACTGTAATTCCATACCTAAGTCATACCTACTGCTTCTTGAGCTCACACCTGAACTTTGAATTTACTCTATCTATGCAAATTTAGAAATCAATCCATATGGCATCAAAAAAAAATAGCATAATTTTAGCATCCTGCAATATTTATTTTTACTTTCTGCTATTTTTTCTTACAGGCCATGAGGATAATGGCTATCTCCTTCAGTTGCCCTTACTGCCTGCAACTCTGCTTTCTGTACGCAAAGCCTAGGAAATAGAAGAGAACCTATGCATTACTCTTATAGGAGAATTTATGTGTGGCAATTGGCATATGGCTGATGAACTGGGATTTGTGACCAAGAGACAGAAAGTGCTGTTTTAGTCAGTTTCCTCTGTAATACTATATGAAGCAGCTCTCAGCTAGCAGTGAGAAAATTTCAGTTTGAAAGAGACTCTGGAACAGAGGCAACATTCAGAATTGGATTTCAAAGCAGAAATGTGAGCCCCTCATTCCACATTAAAAAGATGTTCCCCCTGAAAATAAAATATACTGCAGTTCTGCAGGAGTAAGAAATGTGATGCCCGCCAGATGTTGAATTACAATTTTAAGTTCCCTTGCTATTAGTTAGAGCTGCTGGGAGAGGACCTTTGCCCTAGTTTCTTATCCCTGTTGCATGGGAAGTTGCTGCATTATTGAAGCAATACATGTCTCATTCATTCTCAGTCTCTTTTATTTCAGCTATGCATTGAATTCATCAAAGACACACTAAAAGCGGACCAAGCATGTGAGGCATTTCAGGTAAGTTGTGATGTTCCTGGTCTTGCCTGAATGCCAGTCCCTGAATCACTTTAAGGATAGGAGCAAGAAATCTTTCCCAGGCAGACAATGCTACAGATACATGTTGACAGCTGTCTAATTCCATGCAGATTCCTTGTTGTTGGGCTCAGTTCAAAGAAATGCATAGTCTTAAGTGGTAAAAACACATGAAATCAGTTGCACTGGTTGTAGACAGACAGCAGTGGTAGAAATCTTCATTATAGAATACAGATGTTGAACAACTGGTATGGAAAGACTGGCACTGGTGAACTTGCAATGAATTGCTTTCCTGATAACCTGTGATGAGTAAGCATTGCCTCCATTCTACCAGTTGGAGGGGGATGGAGAATAATGTGGAAATGTGTGGGTAAGTGAGTTAGCAGACAAACAGACAAGCAAATACTGTTGAAAGGAAAAATGCTGTAAGAGAGATCTGTTCACCTGATAGTGGGGCCCTATGCTATGAAAGGTTTATAGGTAGTAACGAGAAGCTTGAATTGCTCCCAGAATTCAACTAACTGGCAGCCAGTGCAGCTCACAAAGCAGAGGTGTTAACATGAGCATGCCATTACTGCCTGTGCCACTGTATTCTGGACTAGCTGCAGCTTCCAAGTAGACTTTAAGGCAGTCCCATATAGAATGCATTGCAATAATCCGCACATGAGATGAGTGAGGCATGAGTGACTGTCTGGAGGGCCTCTTGGCTCAGGAATGGAAGCAACTGGCTCACAGGATGAAGCTGTGCAAAGACTCTAGCTTTCCGAGAACTAGCTGCCAATTGTCTTCAAGGAGGAGCTGCAAGTCTAGGAATGTCTCCAAATTGGGTATCAATCCTGAACATGGAAGAGCAGCCCTGTTCATGACTAAAGATGGACATTCTCCAGAACAGTATTTCTCAACCTTAGGAACTTTGAGATGTGTGGACTTCCACTCCCCAAATTTTCCCAAACACCCTTCTGGGTTGGGGAATTTTGGGGGTTGAGGTCCCATTTTTTCAAGGTGGCAAAGG